GTGTATAATCGCCTATAACAAGCAGCTATGACATCTAAAATGTAGGTATCATGTAATTATGGTTAATGTGAAGCACAACCAGGTAACGGTCTATATGTAAGTATGTTTCAGGAAATATTCATTTTTTGTTTTATGGTTTTTTGTTTTTGTTCTTTTCTTTGAAACAGGGTTTCTCTGTGTAATAACCCTGTCTGTCCTGGAACTCATTCTGTAGACCAGACTGGCCTAGAACTCAGAGATCCACCTGCCTCCCAGGTGCGGTCAAATGTATTTCCCTACCAGTAAAGACTAGAGTAAAAGACAGTCTACAGCACACCTGGCTTCATTCTAAGGCCATCTGTGAGCCTTCACTTCCTCAGGAGGAGACTAGACCTGAAATGAGTTACCAGCAAAGGGATTTAGTGGCAGATTAAAATGATCACACTTTTTGAACAACTAAAATTTAAGGGTGGTTTAATACACCAATTAATGTAACACATCACACCAACTTAAAAAGAGTATATGGCAATATTCAACATTCTATTTCATGAGAAACACACTCGACCACCCAGAAATCAAAGTAATTTATGAAAACACCATAGCTAACTTCATACCCAACAGTAACTAAACTTTTCCACAAAGATCAGGGATCAGAGCAAACATGCCATTTGCCACTCCAATTTTAGCTAGAGAGCAAAGAGTAGACCCAGGAGAACAGAAGGGACAGGGGACACTGAAAGGAAAGGCAAAGTCTGAAGTAAACTTATGTTTATACACGGTATTATCTTTCATGCAGAAAACTCTAAAACATACCCAAAACTTGTTAAAACAAAAGAATTTAGCAAAACTCTACTACTACTACTCTTACTCCTACTACCACACACACACACAAAATCAATACACAAAGACAAGCTGTGTATATCAGAAATTAACCATGAGCAAACCAAAAAGGAAACTAACAAAACAGTTCTACTTCCTATAGTATCCCAGAGACAAAAACACTCAAGGAATAAACTTAACTAGCTTGCAGATTGAAAACTAAAAAAGATTGCTAAAAGAAATTAAAGACAAAAAAATGTAAACAGAAGTTGTAGGACGTATTATTAAGAAGTTGTATTAGTCAAGGTTCTCGAGAGGAACAGAACTGATAAATTAATATATATGTGAGATTTTGTTACAGTGGCTTACAGGCTGTATGTGGTCCAACTAATCTAACAATGGCTGTCTGCCAATGGAAGGTCTAAGAACCCAATACTTGTCCAGTCCTTGAGGCTGGATACCTCAGCTGGTCTCCAGTATATGCTGGAATCCCAAAGAAGTAGCCTCCAATGCCAGTGAAGGAGTGGACTTGCCAGAGGACAAGCAGCAGAGAGCAAGAGCTTCACAGAGGCTGCCAGGAGAAGGTGTGGCCCAGATTAAAGGTGGGTCTGCCCACTTCAAATTATTTGATTAAGAAAAATCCCAGGCTGGAGAGATGACTCAGCGGTTAAGAGCAGTGGCTGCTCTTCCAGAGGTCCTGAGTTCAATTCCCAGCAACCACATGGTGGCTCACACCCATCTGTAATGCTATCTGGTGCCCTCTTCTGGCCTGCAGGGATACATTTTTTGAAAAAAATGAAAAAAGAAAAAAGAAAAAGAAAAATCTTTGAAAAAGAATCCCTCACTGGGCATTGGTGGCACACGCCTTTAATCCCAGCACTCAGGAAACAGAGGCAGGCGGATCTCTGTGAGTTTAAGGTCAGCCTGGTCTACAAAGTGAGTGCCAGGATAGGCTCCAAAGCTGCACAGAGAAACCCTGTCTCAAAACAAACAAACAAACAAAAAACAAACACAAGAAAAATGTCTCACAGGTTTATCTAGCTGCTTGGAGTTAAGGTAATTCCAGATGTAGTCAAGTTGACAGGCAAGAATAGCCATCACACAGTCAGATGAGGCAAGAAGAGTGCAACAAGTCTGAGGCCATCCTAGGCTACACAGTGAGACCTTGTCTCAAAACCACAAAGAAATAAAATGCCAATAAATTTGTCAACATGAATACCCAGTTAAATTAAACCTTTACAAAATAACTTCTAAAATTCAAATTTTGGTGCAAGCTTCCCTCTGCCCATCCTCTTCCATCTCCAACCAATGAAAACAGTTCTTTTCTTCAGGGCCACACTAGAGGAAGATTCTGAAATCGAGGGGCACCTAAAGAACCTGAAGAGAAAATCTAGTCTAAAATTTATAGATATGCAAATCAAGGAGTCAGAGTTACACAACTCAAACAGTGTCAACAACAAAACCACACACTTTGCATCCAGAAAGAAACACAAGTTAATAGAGACATGTTCAACAGTAACAACAAAAAAACTTTTAGAAGAATGAACAGTGGGCAGCGTGTGTGTATATATAATAAAAAAAAAGAAACAAAGTGGGCTGTAGAGATGGCTCAGCGGTTAAGAGCACTGACTGTTCTTCCAGAGGTCCTGAGTTCAATTCCCAGCAACCACATGGTGGCTCACAACCACCTTGAATGAGATCTGGTGCCCTCTGCTGGCATGCAGGCAGAGGACTGTATAAATAATAAATAAAATCTTTAAAAAAAAGAAAAGAAAAGAAACAAATTGATCCCAGAGAGGAAGAACCTCTTCTTGTTTTAGAATTGCTAGGAGGCAATCTAGTTTCGGGCATAAAACCCTCAGCTGACTCCAACAGCCAACCTCACTAGCCAAATTTCAGACATTAAGGAGAAAAAAAATGAAACTGTTAAAATGCTTTCTATTTTGCAAATAAATCATTTGAGGGTGTGTTGTGTATGTATGATATAAATGTTTATAATGATAAAACAAAAAAGATGATGGCAAGCTGCCTAAGCCACAGTCATCAAAACCATCCACAGTTCTTAGATGACAGTGATTCTGTCTCTTTCTCCATTGTCACCCTCAAGATGATTATGGACTAACCCTCTGGAACTGTGTGCCCAAATTGAATGCTTTCTTTTATAAATTGCCTTAATCAAGATGTCACTTCACAGCAACAGAACCAATAACTCAGACAACAACCTACTACAGAAGGCCAGCTTTGGCTCCACGTTCATGAGACAACCCAAGACATAATGACTCAGAAGAAAGGCTGCAACTCATGGGAAGAATACTGGCAATGCAGGTGGGCACAGTTAAGTAATTATATATCATAATACAGAAAGCTTACTTTTCTTCTGCTAGTGGTAGGGAACAGAAAAGGGACATGAGTAGAGGAGACATACTGGTAACTGAGAACAAAAGCTTATGAACAGAACACATAAACAATATGGTACATTCATACAAGAAAATATTACTCAATAATAAGAATATTAAGAATTGGTATTCTCACAATATAAATAAAAATCACCAACATAAGACTTTAAAAAATGATACAAACTATATAATTCTATGTACAACAAGTTCAAAAATTAAAACCAGGCTAATGAAATTTAGCAAAGCTTACTTCAGCAGAAGGCTATTAAAGAGAAGGAACTTTTTGAGATAACAAAACGTTCTATATCTTTATCTAAATAAGTGGTTCTATGTAAATTACAATATAGTCATCAATACTGTGCTTTAAAGTTCACATTACCACTCAAAGTTTATAATATGACAAAAAATAAAAGTAAACATCCAAGTCCTAAAGAATTTCAAATAAGCCAAACCTGTGTCTTCCAAACATATAACCAAACAAAGTGTTCAAATAGGCACTGCATATTTAACTAGCAACTGGAATACTGACAGGGCCTTAGAGCATAGTGCAAGCAAGCTTCTTCCCTACTTCAAGACACCCACAAGTGACCAATGTTATTGTTCTATTTTTACTCTGTATTTCAAAGCCATGTTTACTTACTGATATGCGTTTTTATCAATTTAAAAGCATACAATTTGAAAAACATTCTTTCACATCTCAGACACAAAACAACATCAAAATTAAGTTGGCTAAAAGTCACCAATCTTTAGAAGACCAGTCAGAATGGGACATCAGAAACGTCCTTCAGGGACTGGGGAGATGGAGCAGTGGAACAGAGTGCTCTCTGTGAAAGCATGAGGACTGAGGACACAGAGACAGCCACCACGTCAAAGCTGGCAGAGTGGTCTGCTGTAACTCCAGGGAGACCAAGCTCAGGGAGAGCCTTTCCTCAGGAAATAAAATGGGGGACACCTGATGTCAACATCTGGCCTCCACACACATGCACACGTGTGACTAAACATACAGGCTCCAAACATCACATAACACACAGAAGACATGGCTTACAACCTTTGTTAAAGGAAATAAGGTAAAATCTACAGAAGGGAAATATATTCTCTTCACTACAGAGAAAACAAAGCAGCCAACACATCTTGCACTGGCCAGTGGCTAAAGCAACACCAATCAGATTTTTTAACATGTTACAGTAACACTAGGAGCCTGTAAGCTTTAGCCTCAATACTAAAGAAAGAAAACTAAGATTGCTTCACATTAGTTTAAGATGTGTTACATTCATTTATGATGTGGAACATTTATTTATTGTTACATTTGTTTAACTCTGTGAAGCTGTGTTACTTTGCCTGCCTAAAAGGAGGAGAGGAGGATGCCAGGGGTCAGGCACCCAGCCAGCAATAGAGTAAAAAGGAAAGGAGGATATATGGAATAAAGAAAGGTAAAAACCCAGAGGCAAAATGTAGTTAAAGAAAAACAGGATAATTTAAGTTAGAAAAGCTGGCTAGACACAAGCTAACCTAAGGCCAGGCATTCATAAGTAAGAATAAGTTTCTATGTGTTTATTGGGAGCTGGGTGGTGGGCCTTCCCCAAGAGTAAAAAGAAAATACCAACTACAGCTTTACCATTTTATGGTTGTTTATTGACTCCTTGTAAATAAATCAACTGAAACAAGTTGGTCAAAAGATTAATACAGCATATTGCAAATTTTAAAAACAACTCCTTAATTCTAAACTCACAGGCATGCTTTCAAAATATAAACTATTTTTATTATTCCTACTTTGACATGTGACATTTAATAGAGTTGTCTACTTACCTAAATTTTGGCTTATTAACATCTTGATGCAAGAATAATTTCATCCAAAACTAAATCAAGCCTAAAAGAATACATGTAAAAACCATCATTTAGTTTTTTATTTCATTTCAAGTAGGAAAAACTGTGCACTGTTTTAAGTTAAAACTATAAATTTATTTTCTTCATAAAACATCTAAAACTGTTCAACAACTAATCTAATATTGCTCAATAAAATACCTGTTCAAGGGGAGCAATAATCTATACCAGCAAGAAACTTCAAAAATGTAGGTGTTGGAGAAACGAATGGTTCAGTGGTTCTAGGCACTTGCTATTCCTGCAGAGGACCAAGGTTTGGCTTCCAGCACCCACGAGGCACCATTCGCTGTCTATAACTCCAGAATTTCTGATGCCCTCTTCTGACATCTGTCAACACTGTATACACGGTACCAATACACACACTCATACATGTAATATATACACACACACATATATATTTAAAGAAACATAATTTGTAGTTCTTAAAATTTTTTTATGTAACTTACTTTCATCAATTTTAGTAACAGAGCAATGGTAATTCAGACTATGGGCAGTTAGTTCTGAAACCATTCAAGATATTAAAATATAATATAAAAATAATCAAGTTCACATTTTCAAGAACTAAAGAAATAAACATTAACACTACTCAAAATAACTGACAGCGTCACCCCAGCGCCCCTGGCTTCACTGAGTCAGTCGGTTCATCAGGACGGGTTTTGGGTGTTACGGGTTCTATCCCTGCGGAAGGTCTGAAACCAGAAATCCTAAACGAGGATTAAGCAAGAAACACTAGAGACCAACTGTTGTGACCTAAGAGTGCTGATCTGAAGATGTGGGGCAGAAATAGTGACAATTCTACACTTCCAGATGTACAAAATTATGGAACAATTTCTATATAATGTGGGTGCATTTTTATAAACATTCACCTTTGGAGGGGGTGGTGGTGTACAGATTACAGATGTGCACTAGGGAAGGGGGCACAGGAAAGAGAACAAGAAGGGCAGGCAGCACAGCTCATGTATGTATCTCAGCAGGGTTTGGGAGAAGACTAAACTGTCAAATAATCTTCCTGAGGCCCCACTACATCCTAACCCTGAGAAAACACATTGCAACAGACATCTTCTAATGCAGCCAACCAATACTCTTCAAAAATGTTAAAGTCATTAAAAACATGTCATGAGGCATCTACAGAAAGTGGCAACCAAATGCTAGGTGCTATATATTGAACTGAAAAGGAATAGTAGAGGGGAAAAAAAACGAAGAAACAGGGGAAATGTCTTTAGTTAATAATATGGGACAACATTGACTCTGTAATCATAACAAAAGTACCAAAATAACATCTTTATGAAAAGGAAAAATATGCTGAAGAGACAAATATATTTTAGAAAATGACATTCAGAAAAGCAATCAAACATTCAGATACAAAGTTACAAGTGTTGAGAATTTCAGACCGACTTTAACGCAATGAAACTGAAAGCCAAAGGTACTTTGGGGACAAGACCTTGCTATGTAGTTCAGGCTAACTAAAGTCCTCGGTTATTTGCGGTACCATGGAACAAAGTGTTCACTCTTAATCAATCAATGCATCCACATAGACATGCTAGCGAATTCAGAAACTAACTGTGCCTCAATGAACTAGAGAGAGAACTAAGCTGAACCAAGTTAGAAAGAAGGGCACGATAAACATTAAGTCATAGATCAGTTCAAAAGATCCACAAAAGTGAGACCAAGAGAAGACCACTAGAAGCAGAAACAGAGAGGATATTGCAAAGGAAATGATGTCAGAAGACCAGATGGGACACAGTGAACCACAATGGGCAACAAATTAGAAAACCCACAAGTGAATACATGCTTTAAAAGATAATTACTTCGGATAGAAGTCAATAAAACTGGCTACTCTTCCAGAAGACCAAAGTTCAGTTCCTAACACCCAGGTTGGGTGACTTACAACCACCTGTAACTGCAGCTTCAGGAGATACAATGCCCTTTTCTAACTCTGCAGGCACCTATGTGTGCGCACGAACACACACACACACACACACACACACACACACACACACAGGACAAGAAAAATCTCTGAATAACCACACACACACACACACACACCCCCCCCCCCCCCCCCACACCCACACCCCCCCCCACCCCCCCCCCCCCCCCTGGACAAGAAAATTCTCTGAATAACCACACACACACACACACACACACACACACACACACCCAGGACAAGAAAAATCTCTGAATAACCGATAACTAAAGACTAGATGCTATTACGGTTTGAATCTGAAATGTCTCCCACATACTTGAAGACTTGGTCCCCAGCATGGAACCTTTATCATGTGGGGCCTAACTGGCAGAAGTAGGTCACATTCAGTGGGCCTTTGGAAGCATATAGGCCTCTAGTTCCTGCCACAAATACTGCCATGAACTCAGTGGGCTGCTACACTGAAAACCTCTAAAGTCATGGGCCATAATATTCTTGTCACATACTTTGGTCCACAGAGACATGAATAACACAGATGAAGTAATTAAAAATTTTCAACCAAGGGGCTAGAGAGGTGATTCAAAGCACTTGGTGCTCCTGCAGAGGACCTAGGTCCAACTCCCAGCACACTCAGTGGCTCACAACCTCCACTTCAGGGGATCTAACACCCTCTTTGGCCTCATGGTCCACACACATACATGTAGGCAAAATACCTAAACATATTAAGATGTTTTTTTAAGGCTTTAATTTTTTTTTCAACTAAGATAAGCTCAAAACAAGACAGCTCCTCTAGAGAATTCTACCAAAGAACCGAAGTATACTTCAAACTCATTCTATGAGGTCAAGATTATCTTGAAACCAAATCAAGACAAAGGCTAATCTAGTATCTCTAATGAAGGATATGAATAGCTCAAGTCAAGTAGTAGCAAAACAATAGCATTACAGAACTGCACATGAGTCACATTTCTGGATGCAAGGATAGCTCAACACAAGAGCAATTAATAAATAAACAGCAACGTGTGTGTGTTTGTGTGTGTGTGTGTGTGTGTATGTGTGTGTGTGTGTGTGTGTGTGTGTGTAAGCTTTATCTCTGTTGATGTACAAAACCCACCCAATCAAACTCAGCACCACTTTATTATAAAACTAAATATGGAAAGCACTTCAACCTAATTAAAACTATACAATTAAGGGGTATCCAACTGCAGTATGGCGCTGGCATCTACAAACATATTTGGCAACATTCACAGTTATTCTGGATGCTTGCTGCCCACAGACCACAGACTTAAATGATTACACAGGTGAAAAGCCCAAGGAAAACACTCAAGTCAAAGACTGAAAGTGTCCTCTTTAAGACCAGGAACAAAACAGAACTCCCTAGTCTTACTCCCATCCAATGCAGCACCAGAAATTTATGTGTAACAATTTGGCAAATAATAAAATGCATCCAATTCAGAAAAAGGAAAATTATCTTTGCCTAGGGATGAATGATGATCCTAAAAGAACACCCTACAGAGTCCAAAATAAAATCCTGTTGCTGCTAATTAACAAATTGAGCAATGTAGCAGAATACAAAGTCACATTAAAAACACTTATTTATATACACAACAGTGATGATCCAAAAAAATTTAAAAATTAAAAAAAAAAAACCTGAGAAAACAAAAATCTATAATACCATTTTAAAAAATATTCAGGAATTAACCAAGAAAAGAAAGTGTACAGTGAAAATAGGAAAGGATTACTGCCATTAAAGACACAAACACATGAAGTTAAAATGGCAAAAATCACCTAACCCAATCTACAATAAATGCAATCCCTGTCAAAACCCCCCGACAGATTTGTAGAAACAGAAATAGCTACTTGGATGTAATCTCAGACCCCAATGAGCCAAGACAATCTTCAACAAGACTTGACACTTCCTGATTTCAGAACACAGTAAAAATGACAAACTTATGAAAACCAATGGAAAAAAACAACCCAGAAACAAATGCTACCATAAGTTTAAATGGTTTTTCATAAAGGTACCAAGAATACACCATGGAGAAAAACATCTCTTGAAGAAGTGATCTTGGCAAAGCCTGACATCCACATGCAAATCAAAGACAGACAATTCACATGGGTAAAAATCATACAATGTAGAAACACAAAACTCCTAAATGAAAACTAGAGAAAAAGGTTCAGGTTGCTGGCCACAGCTACAATTCCTTGGTTCAACACCAAAAAGCAAAGGAAGTGAACACTGACAGATACGATGTCATCCCTCAAGACTCCTGCATTTCGTTGGAAACAATGATATAATAATATGGAGTAACTATCATAGTACATAGAGGATTTATAACAACAAATAACAAATGACCTAATCTTTTTTAAGGGCAAAGGACTTAAAAAACTAATTCAAAGCAGAACTTCATGTACCTACATCTGTAACAACATTATCCACAATACTCATACCATGGAAGCAACTCATTAATGGACAGTTGAATAAAGATTACATATTCCTATATATAATGAAATACTGTTAGTCTGCAAAGTTAATTACATACAAGTCATATATAACATGGATGAAACTGGAGACAAGTACAAAAGTTAATACGGTATGATTCTCCTCCTGTGAAATATCTAGTCAAAACCATAGTTAAGAAAGACATTATCAAAATGTAATTGGAGAATGGACACAAAAAATAAGAACGTGATTGGCAAAGAATTCCAGTTTCCTAGTACTAAAAAAGTCAAAGAGATCTGCTTCACAAAATGACTAACCCTAGTGAACTGTACACTTGACAATATTTAGGATGAGTTTGCCATAACGTTTGTATGTTCCTGGTGCTGGAGAGATGGCGCAGTAGTTAAGAGTGTTATTCTTGCAGACCTAGGTTTGAATCCCAGCACCAACATGGTGGCTCACAACCACCTGTAAATCCAGTTCCAGAGGATTTGATACCTTTTTCTGGTCTCCTTGACCATCAAACGCACACATGGTACACAGACATACACACAGACAAAACACTCATACACAGGGAATAAATAAGTCTTTTTTAGCTAGGCGGTGGTGGTGCATACCTGTATGTAATCCCAGCACTGAAGAGGGAGAGGCAGGTGGATCTCAGTTCTCAATGAGTTTGAGGCCAGCCTGGTCTACAGATAGCCAGAGCTGCTATACAGAGAAACCTTGTCTCAAACAAAAACAAACAAAAAAAACCCGAATGTTGGGGAAAAAACACATATCATAGCCTAGGTGGAATAACAGATTAACTTTACCCTTCTGCCAAAATAGCCTAAGAAAAAAAAAGAAAAGAAAAAAAAAAAAAAACACAGACACATAGACACACACAGACAGACAGACAGACAGACATGCATGCATGCATCATTAATAGTCTTCAAGGTAAACCAAAAGGTAAACCAATAAATGGAGCAGCAATCTAGTGCCTGAAGAAAATACATACCCCCATTCCCAGGGAGAATGTGGTGGTCTCTGACAAAAGACTGAGCTGCAAGTCCAAAAACACACAACCAGCAACTTCAGGGCAAAGTATGGAGAATTGAAGAGAGACAGAACACCTGTCAGTGTCTAACATGAGAGAGTTATGAACCCTACACAGAAATTAGTCAAAACTGAAAGTCATCCCAAAAGATAAGGAAGACTGCCCCTGACTCGCAGAGAACCAGAAATCACACCTATGCCTTTCAGACAGAATAGGAAATATCTCTGATTAGTTAACAATCAGTACAAAAGGGATCTAAAATGAATTCTGAAAGTAATGGGCATGTTTATTAGCACGGCACAGTGATAAGTCCATGGGGTATCTATAGCTACCAGATCTGTCCAAATTTTAAGTTTAAACATGTGACTTGACAGCCATTTATCCATAACTTAAAATATTCAAACATGCCAAATTTGAATTAGGAAAAATCCTAATTTCAAATTACAAAAGTTAGAATAGTAATAAATTCTCAAAAATAATGTAACTGACAACCAAAAGAGTGAAGTTACCAACATCTCTATAACTGGTAATTCAATATATAAATGATGCTTCCAAAATCTCATAACATATTTTATGAAACATACATAGCAGAATCACCTGTACTATTAAATGGACAATGACCATGCAATTTCTGTTAAAGTACAAAAAAAATTTTATAAATCTAACCTACTTTTTACAGGCTGAATTTCTACAAAACAGAATTCAGTAGCTAGAAAAACAACTCATCAACTAAGAAGACTAGACTGACTACCCCAAAGTCTTCTTAGTGGGAAATGACCTGAACATGCCTTCTTGAGGCTAGCTTGCTCTTATACTAGAAGGCACCATGCAAGCTTCCAAAGGAGGGAAGATAACCAGTAGTCATACACAGCTGTGCTGCCTATGAAGTACATCAACAACCAACAGGGTTCTACAGCCCTAAGGGAGCAGCAGAGGCACGAATACTTCAGTGGTAACCAACAACCTCTAATAGAATTGTAGACCCAGTCAACAAGAGGGAAATCATACCAGGTAGTAATGGAAACCTCGGTAACTAACTATTATTGCTAGTGAACTCAGTTATGGAGGAGAATCTGCAACCACGAATGACTAAAGCAGCATAATCACTAACTACTTTCTAAATATTTGTCCTTATACCCACAAATAAGTGTAGTCCTCACCACCACCCCCCATCAAGGAAACTTCTCTTTGTAACAGATAGAGACCACTACAGAAAATTACAACCAATCAAAAAGCAGAGTTGTGGAGTCCAGCCCCAATGGACAATCCACAAAACACTGGGGCACCTAAGGCTCAGGGAACAGGAGGGGTGGAAAGATGGCAAGGGCTAGAGGATGAGGGAGTTTGCTTTGAGATGTGCCTACTAGGAATATCAGGAGCTAGACCCATAACGCCTCACCAACACAATTGCCCAAACATTACCTGAACCAGGATGAAACCAATGCATGCCAATGTGGACAGAGAAAACCCATGAGTCTTTAACCCTACAAAAAGAAAGACAGGCAACCAAGAAAAGCTGGGAATGGGCGAGGTGGCCTTCCCCAACAAACAGCACACCATTGATTGTCCAATGCCAAATGGTCAGCGTTAAAGACATATATAAAAGTAGCAGTACATGGACTAAACAGGTTATTTTTAGGAATATATATGTATACATAATGTGTATTAACAACAGTGAAAAAAGGAAGTCCTGATTAGAAGGGTGGGGAAGGGTATATACTAAAGGGTTTGATGGGAAGAAAAGGGAGAAATATAATTAAATCATAATCTCAAAAATATGAATTAAAAAAAAAGAGGACTGGCTGTTCATCCGGAGGACCTAGGTTCTATTCATTCCCATTACCCACCCACAGGGTGACTCACATGCACCTCTAACTCCAGTCCAGGGGATCCAATGCTCTCTTCTGGCCTCCAAGGGTACTGTATGCACATGATATATAGACATGCATGCAGACAAAGCACACACACAAACGAATACAAATAAAATAAAACACATAATTGCAAAAATCCAGCCTGTATTCTGTATTACATAATCACCCATCAAGGCACTGTCAATGAAACCCACAAAGAGATGGTCTTCTCTCCAATCCCAACCCCAAGTTAGTTCTTGAGCTGACAGTGTAAGGGATGGCAGCAGTGTCTCAGGATGTGTACACTTCTGCTGTTTCTGAATCCTGCTGCCACCACGGAAACACTCTTACCTGAAGTCTGACAGGCTATCTCAGCTGTCTCTCAGCTGCCTCACCCAATCCTAGAGCAGCTACAGCTGAGGACCGCCCTGAATAACAGGAGACGCTAGCTGAGGGGCCAGAGAGCCAGTCACCTGCTGCTAAACGAACTCATGACCAAGCCTCAGCCAAAGCCACAAACATTTCCTGGCTGACTTGTACCCTCGTTCTAATAGCACATAATTCAATTTTCTTATCCACCAAGTTACTTTACAGTAATAGTTATCTAAGTAAGCCTCTCCACAGTAACAAGGCCTCCATACAAGGATGACATGCAAATCTGTGACACTTTCCTATTAAAAATTAATGAACTGCCAAAGCTGACTCAAGATATAAGAAATCTGAACAGAAAGAGGTTCAGCTGCCTTCTCTAGTGACATCTACATCTACTCCAACTCCTCAAACTTTCAAAACCTAGAGCACTTCCTAACTCTGTCAGGACAATACTAGTCACATACCAAGAGCAGACAGCCATTAAAAGAAATTCAAATACCCCTTACAAATCTAAGTCACAAAAGCTGTACAAACAGCCCTCATTCAAAATTCTGAAAGCTAGAGCTCCTAAATCTAAAACTTTTAGGGCATCTGATGCTCTGTTGGTAAATTCCACTTAAATATTCAAAACAAACAAAAACACCTCTGAAATCTGCAAAAGTTCTGCTTCCAGGAACTGGACAGAGGGCTCAGCAGATGAGAACACTTTCTGCTCTTCTAAAAACCCAAGTTCAGTTCCCAACACCTACATTGAGTGGCTCACAAGTGTCTCTAACTCCAACTCTAAGAGTATGTAAGCCTCTGACCTCTGAAGGTGTTCTCTCTCTCTCTCTCCCCCCCCACACATACACTCTGACTCTGTAGCTCTCTCTCTCTCTCTCTCTCTCTCTCTCTCTCTCTCTCTCAAGTAAGACTTGAAATAATCTAAGTTCTGGTTTGAAGCATTACAGGGCTTTGTTCTACCCAACGACATACCATGTAGAACTGTTCATCTTCCTACCCCAATTTAAACTGGTTACTCTTCAAACCCCTGCATCCTGGGTTCTCCCTCTACCCCCATTCCAGGAATTCTATTCAGCCATATCTAGTATGGGGTCATTCCTCTTCTAGTTTACCCATCATTTTTTAAGCAGCATGTGCCTTTCAGTAACATCCTAAAGCACACTGCATCTGAACTGAAGGTTCTCAACAGTGTTGGGATTTTACAGCTGCTCTTACGTGTGGCAAATTAGCAGAGTGCAAATGAGTGACATATAAGAATAGCTTTCCTTCAGGACTTTGTTTGAAAGCATTATCCCATTATCAATCATTTTCCAGTGCTGATCCATAACCCTTTCTATCAACACTTATGGCCTTCCCTTCATTTCCGGTGTCTAAAACTTCAACATGGACATGTTTTCAAACACTATGCTCACCATTCTCTACGGTGTGTGTGTGTGTGTGTGCGTGTGTGCGTGCGTGCGTGCGTGCGTGCATGTGTGTTTTCCTGGGATTGAACCCAGAGCCTTGGGCATGCTAGGCAAGTGTTCTATCATCGAGCTACAGCCCAGCCCAATCCCTCCATCCTCTGAGCCTCCCCCTTTTCTTTCAATTCTTGAGACATCGTCTTTCTACACTACACCACTCAGGTTGAACTTGAGCTAGTTCCACAGCCCAGGCAAGTCTCAAATTCACAATCCTGCTTTGTCCACCCTAGCCCACAGTGTGCACCTCCACCAGGCTTCCCTTGTTATGGAAAACTCAACTCTTGCTCAACCACTAACCCCTTCCATTCATTTTCTAGTCTGTAATTGTTTTTCCCAGGCTCAACCTCCAAGTGTGTTCTGATTTTATCCTCCCCACTTTACATCCCTTGTTATCCTTTGTGGAAGATTTAACTTTGTCATCCAGTCTTCAATTAAGATTCTCAACTCCTAACTCTTCTATTAAGTGTTCAGTGCCCTCAACTTCCCACCCTATTGTCTCCTATTCTTAACTTTTAAGAGCCTTCCTCACTGTCCTTTTATACATCTCAAAACAAAGTACAGTTAACATTTATGGTTTTCTTGCAATGTGGTGGTCCTCAGTCCTAGGAGCCCGCACTTCAAAGTCACTTAGGAATTGTCCAAGTTATTTACCTGGGTTGTCTTCTGTTATCAACTGAGGTTTTGTTTTTCCTTTCTCACACCAGTTTTCTGTAAAAGGATGAATTCTCCAATCTTGCATCTGGGAATAGGATCCTGACAGAACTGAGGAGAAAACAGGCTGGTGTTGATTTCGACTTCAACATGTCGTGATCCTCCCCAAGTTTAGGTACACACCCTTAACCTGAGCTCAGCCTAGTTATTCTCATTGACTCAGGGCTTCCAGTTCAGTCTAAGAAAAGAAATGGGGGGGGGGTAAGAAAAGAGGGAATGGGAGCATGAGGGATCAAGAAAACCAAGTTGGAGGAGGCACGGAGGGGAAAAGCAATGAAAGAGAGATCTTGATAGAGGGAGCCATTATGGGGTTGGGAAGAAACCTGGTGCTAGAGAAATCCTCAGGCATCAACAAGGATGACCCCAGCTAAGACTCCTAGTAATAGGGAATTGGGTGTCTGAATAGGCCTTCCCCTGTAATCAGATTGGTGACTGCCCTAAGTGTCATCCTAAAACCTACATTCAGTAACTGATTTCCAAGCACCAGGCTGATCTCCTGGAGTTCAGTTGAAGAGAGGGAGGAGGGATCATACGAACAAGGAGGAGTCCAGAGCATGATAGGGGCTGGGCAGTGGTGGCACACTTTAATCCCAGCACTTGGGAGGCAGAAACAGGTGGATCTCAGTGAGTTTGAGGCTAGCCTGGTCTACAAAGTAAGTTCCAGGACAGTTGGGGCTGTTACAGAGAAACCCTGACTCGAAAAACTAAAAACGTCATGGACTGACAGCTAGAAAACCGGCATAGGATTGAACTAGGCGCTCTGAATGTGGGTGACAGTTATGCAGCTTTGATTTGTTGGGGTAGGGAGCCTGGCAGTGTTGAAATAGGACCTACCCCGAGTACATGAATTGGCTTCTAGGAGCCCACCCACTATGGTTGGATACCTTTTTCAACCTTGATTGGGGGGGAGGAGGGTTGGTCCTGACTCAACTTGCTATGACTATGACAGACTTTGTTTATTCCCCAAGGGAGGTCTTACCCCCTCTGAGGAGTGCATGGGGAGTGGGAAGGGGGAGAGGTAGGCATGGGGGAAGAGGGGGAACTGGGGTTGGTATGTAAAATGAAAAATAAAAATTTTAAAATAGAAAAAGACATTTGAAGGTAAAAGATCCCATGAGTGTTGCCTGCTTCACAGGGTTTTAGAAAGTTCTTTTAATGGTACCTGCAGCCAACTCATGACCAGGCACAGGTCCCTTTCACTGAGTGTCAGTCACTACTTGGTGCCAGGCTTTACTTCAGTGGTCACTCTCTTATAGAGTTTACTATCACCATTCTCGTGGGATGCTATTTAAACCCACCATGCTCAAAAGTTAATCAGCATTTTCTTCAAACTTGAGCAACGCACAGTAGCAAGGTCTCAGTAGCAACATCAAGTTCTACTGAACACTACAGTAAAACAACGTGACCTATAGAATCTTTTATATTACATTAAAAGTCTCTGAGGCCAATGTACAACCTTTTTAGAAGATTTATATTCAAGAGCAGTAAGTGCTCTTGACCCATGAGTCTCCAGACCCCAATATACCACTTATAAAGACATTTAATAAAATACAATCGGCAGGAATTCGAGAAAACATACTGGGAATGTTAGGATTACCTTATTAAATAAAACATTGCTATTCAAATCTGACCCATCTTTAGTTTTCATGTACTTGATTTGTAAAAGTCTAAAAGGTAAATTAAGATCCAAAGCTAGTGTTACCAATTTTTTGAGGAAGTTTATTGTTTATGTCTCAAAGTCATTTGTTAATCACACAGATTTAAATCTAATATTGTGTTTAGCACACCGAGCTTTTTAATGAACAATTCTCTCTTCATTCAATTGTTGTGGCATAGAAGTATCATTTGTTTTAGTTTTGGGGTGTTTTTGTTTTGTTTTGTTTTACCATTTTTTGTTTTCATTATGTTACTTTTTTTTTTTTTTAAATACAGCAAGGCCAGGTAGAGTGGCACAAGCCTTTAATTCCAGCTTAGGAGGCAGGTGATCTCTGATTTGCAGCCAGAGTGAGATCCTGTCTTAAAACAAACAAGCCAAAAGAACAAAACAAACAAGCAAAACCCAGCAAATTTTTAATAAAGAAGAGCAGAAGTCAATACGGGTTAAGTCTCCGGTAACTACCTCTGGAAGGAAAACCAGGCTTGGAAAGGAAGGCAACCAGAAGGCAGGCAGGCAATTGCCAGCAGGGGTGTGTCTACTACAGTGCTGCCTGCACTGTTTCTAACAGCACTGCTAACCTATGATGGTCACCACATCACGCTGTCTTCCACTGCTCCTGTTCGAGTACTTCTTTCTGTAGACAGGGAGTGTTTAGAACATCCGGGTGTCCTCCCCACCGCTGCATGTTCCTGCAGGGAGCCATTTTCCATTACCGTTCAACTTACAGGTACCCACGGCCACAGGAAGCACACCACAGGGCCCTATTCCTGAAGCTCAGGAGCCACAGAGGCATAAAGTTTGGACTACCTACTTTAGAGGAGTGGGGTTTCCAGAAAGCAACCCTAACTTCCTGTACCCACACACCATCAGAGTTGTTTTCTGCTGTCTCCTCTCCTCACCCATGCTATCTACACAAACTCCCAATCTGAGAAACACAGATGAAAAGTCTAGTTCCCACTTGACACAAGGGAAACATATTTTTCTTTAAGCAATGATAGATAACCAAGACAGAGTCAAATGTGGCTATTCTCCCAAGTTTCCAAAAACTACTAACTGTAAGCTAATATTAACTGTTAAAATGGCTAAAATGTAAATTTATTTCAAAACTAACACATTACCATCTTAAAACTGTAAAATTTCATTTACTCCAAATTTTCTGAACTGTTGAATTCTTTAATAATTCTTTAAAAAGCAGAAAAAATATTTAAATTTTATTACTGTTGTAATGTTCACATTTTTCCTAATTCCATTTCATGAATGATCTTCTACACATTATAAACTTCTAGACATTATAAAACATAACATATTCATTAAGGAGCCCTTAGAAAGTCTAGTAAGGATAAGTCACATGAACTATAAAAACATGTACCAGCCAGGGCATTAAATCTTCAAGCACTTCCCCCTAATGTTGAGCACAAGGTATAGCTTAGGCAGAGCACTCGCCTGCCAAGCATGAGGGCCTCTCCAAATGTTCCAAGTTTTTAAAACAAGTACCTACTTAATAACAGAAACTGATATCCAGATTGTTAACTTTAATTATTGACTGTTTCCTATTAGCTCTTTTATCAATTATCTCTTACACTATGACTAGTTATGTACTATATGAATTAAAAATTCAGCATCATATTTGACTGGACTCAAATATTTCATTCAAAATCCATCCGTTCCATTACAGACAGCATAACTTTCTTGAATTTTAGTAGGTTTTGTTTTAGATTTTGAGAAAGGTCTCTCTGTGGCCCTGACTGTCCCAGGACTCACTATGTAGATGAGGCTGGCCTCCAGTGTTCTTACACCAAACCTAAGTCTAAAACCCACCCCTCAAATCCCAGTCTTCTTGCTCACTCACCATCATACTGTAAATCAAACAATGTCCCATATGGGAAATTTCAGAAGATCCACAAGCCTTTGGTATTTTTCCAGCATTTTTCTTACTCTGCATGGTATTGATTTTTCTAAAAATCAGCTCAATATTCATAAAGTACTAAAAGATTATGCACACACACACAACCCACTACATATAATTATTAGTCTGTGTTTCTATACTTCTCATACCCAAACCCAGAATTCCAATCTATCAGTTGGATTCAAAGTATAAGTGCTTTAATTCCCATCAGTTTTTAAAAGGAATTTTCTTCTCAGCCATTCCTTTTTCCCAAGCATCCTTTAATTAAATTTCAACTTTATACTTTCTCCAGAACCCTAAAAAGGACTTTCTATACATGCAATGTCCAACACAGTAACTATGTATCTAGTCTGAACTGAAATGTGCTTTATGTCTGTAGTAGCGTGGGATGTTAAAGATTCGTTATGGATAATGAATGCAAATATTTCAGTAATTTCACATATTAAGATAGCATTTTGGACACACTGGGTTGGAATATATTTAGATTTTTTACCTATTTCTTCTTTCAGTGTGGCTACAATTTTAAATTGAGTCTTGTAGCTCCACTCAAGCTTCTATTGGGCAGTGCTGGCCTCCACGATCGATTATAAATTTCTTACAAACTAACTTCTGTGTCTCCAGCCAGGATCAAGGGACAGCTAAGCTCAAACCTGGTGATCTGTTAACTACAACCCTCTAAGTCTGGGGTACTTCCTCGTATGTAAAATGCCTCATTAGCATTACAAAGACACATCCTAGATAATTTAATTTCATATTAATGCCATCACTATATTATGGTGCTAGGATCAGGGGTAGCTTTTCAAGTGAGGAATGATGCAAGTCTGTATTCCCAGGACTTGGGAGGCGGCAGCAAGATCAAGATTACCCTCAGCTAGACAATGAACTAACTACATGAGACCCTATCTCAAAGAGAGATAGACTTCCCTTAATTTTTACATTGCTGAAAATAACTTTTAAATATAAATGAAACAGTATTTCATGTTTACATATCTCCTTGTATTTGTGATAGGGAAAGAACAGAATATTAATGAGGGGGGAAATAACATTATATCAAACACATGCAGGAAAAAAAAGGGAAAACAGGCAAAGGAAATGCTCTATTCCGAGATATTAAAAACATCCCAATGAAAAGATCACATTTCCTGCCTCTTGTTTGCTTTGTTTAGGGGGGGTGATGGTATTAGACTGGGTGTTTATGCACATGTACACAGAGGCCAGAGGCCAGCATGTCTCACTGAACCGGAACTCAAGAGCTTCAGGGATTATGTCTTTACTAGCCTCTGCTGGCTCTCACAAGCACACCGAGAATCTAACTTGAGGTCCCCGTGCTTGCACAGCAGGCACCAACTGAGCCATCTCTGGAGCTCACCTCCTCACTATTGTCTAGGATTGCATTCAAACACATATAACCAAGTCACCTTCTTCTCTCCTCTAATGGTCACTGCCACATGATCAAAAATTTAAAGGACAGCAATGAAATTCAGACTGTTGCAA